CCTTTACTTACGTTAAACGTTTACAGTACCTGCTACTTTGTATCTTATTACCATATCAGCCGTTAATTGCCCATTACTGAATATAGGCCTCCCTCTATTGGGAGGTTTTGGCAGTAGTTGCCATGCTTGCCAGACGGGTTTGCAACCGCAGTTACGCTTTGGAGATGTTTTAAGAGAACTCGACCATTAAGTTCCCTTAATCGCTTCTTATAACACCCACATTATAAACAAAGAAAAGTTGCAGCCGTTTTGAAGTTATCCTCAACATACATTCGACAATTGATTTTTATTTATATAAATAAAAATATAAGGATAGGGGCATTGCCTAAAAAAAATACGAGCAAATTTTAATTATTTTAACAATCATCTTTATACCTATAAACTATTTTAACTGTTCTATACAACATAATGAAAAGATTTTGAAATTTTTCATTATGTTGTATTGATTTGAAATTTTTATGGTAATTTCAAGAAATTTTGAAATTTCTTGAAATTACATAAAATAATACCACAGAAAAACTCTTCAAGTGAAATTAATATGAAATCGAAACATCGAATTAATTACCCGATTTGTGGTTGGTATTACTATTGAACGTCTTTCTCTAAATATCTTCTTTCTTTTTTGTCTCTTCCTTCCTTCTTTCTTTTCTTTGCAATATTTTCGTAATAAATATAAATAATTTAATTAAATATCTCCACTTATTATGATTATTACATAGCCAATGTTGTGTTCATCTTTAACTGGTGTACATATATTATCATGTTTATATTAAATATATTTATATTGTAAAAAGCTATTTATAATATTGTCCATGTGAGGGGGAAAGGGATTGTTAGTAACAGAGACTGAGAACCCCATTGCTAGCAATATACCCAACCAGGTCGACCTCTTCGCGGTTCTCCCTGGAAACTATCATGATTAATTCCTGATGAATTTATCATGATGGGCTAACTGACCTGTTTTCATTCTCATCTATCACCCTTCACCGGTGCTCCGCCAGCGTATCCCGTTAGCGCAGGTTACCATACCATTTTCACCCATAAAAAAAAAAACTGTCGATATACCAATAAATAAATAAATGTCAGCGGACAATTTTCTAGTTAAGTCAATTATTCATTTAAGCTCTATTGAAGCAGACTTCACTAAATGAAGAAGAATAAAGACAACAAAAGGCATGTTTCGGATGTCAAGGTTACTACCAAACATCCGTGCTCAGTCCACCGGCTCTGAATAAGTGCTCGATACAAACTAATATTTTTAATGATAGTTTCCCTGTGCTAAATAAAATTTAAACTACTGAAGATGAGAGAAAATTTATTTATTATTTATTATTGTTGTTTAGATTTCTGTTTTGCACTACTGCTGCCCACTCACTACTTCCTATGCCACTGTGCTAGGTTGTCTGCAAGAGATCTCTTTTAGGGATAAGTTCACCTTTGCTTACAATGTTTCTAATTGTTATTATTACTGTATATTTATTTCAATAAAGAATATTTTAAAGAAAATATATTTATTTATTAGTTTTAACTCTTCTTTATCTTGGTAACAAAAATAAGTTGGTTGAGCGGGATAAGAAGTAGGTATTTTAATTATTCTTCTCTCTTATGTGTCTCTCTGAAGGAACAAGGTCCAATCTGTGAAGCGGCTTTTTTCTAAAAGAATCGATATCTAGCATATAAGTAGAAAAACAAAAAAAAAGCGAATATAAGGTATTACTTGATGACTTTCGTGATGCAGGCAAGCGCGTAGCTTTGCGTAATGCAGTCCTGAGGTCAACGGTCGAACCAATTTAGTAAAGTTACACTTTTAAATTAACTCAGGTTAATTTTCGCTATCTGGTTACTTATTATACAAGGCATCGTAGATTGAAGACATAATCAGTATGATTGGGAGCATTTATTTATGAATGATAATTTTCTACCTGCGATCTGATGTGAGATTTCTATCTATATATGCTGGCCAAGTACCAATGAAAGATGATGAGTGAGAATGAAGTCAAGTCAGTTGGCTTATCGTGACTTATTCTCTAAGAACTAACCTCTTCGATTTATAGAGGACACTATATGAGAGGAGAGTCAAATAGTTTGTAATGGATAAACTCAAAAAAAAACAACAAGAAGTTATTTAAAAAAAATTAAAGATCCCTAGGAAAAAAAAAAACAATAATATCACATTAATATATACATCAAAATATAAAAAAAAAATATTAAAACTATTTTATGATTATTATTATTTTAGCCGTTAACTGTCCACTGTTGAACATTAGTCTTCCCTATAAGGAGAGTTTTGCCAGTAGTTGCCACGCTTGGCAGGCGGGTAGGCAACCGCATTTAGGGTTTTACAGATGTTTTAAGAGGGACACTGCTGGCCATCCCTCTACCATATGCTCCCTTAGTCAGCTCTTGCGACACCCACGAGAAAGGAAAACTATAAGTAATATAAAATACAACGATACCGGGGAGGATTTATATTTAATAGGAAGAAGGAGAGGAATTAAAGAGTCTTATATTTGTTATTGCGAAATTTCTTCTTTAAATGCAAAGAATATGCCTTATAAGTAGGCTAGATTAGATCCTGTAAATATCTCCTTGTCTTTTAATTGGCCTTGTCCTTTAATTCATGCTGCATGTATGTAGTACCTATATATAATTATAAATTAATTTATTACGTGTTATAATAATTGATTCGTTTGAATAAATAATAATGGTATATAAATTCTTCTTATCTGATCGGAATTTGTTATATGACAATATAAAGTGGTCGTACATCGCTTCGAGTACTTAAAGTAATAATAAGTACATAAGAGTTGTGTTTTTAATATTTAAAGGAAATCGTTATCATTTCTCAACTAACAACTCACTGTTGTTGAATAATCACAATTAAATCATTAAAATAAATAGAAGCTTTGTCACTTTGTCTGTTTTGACAATTCGACTCTTGTCAAATTATTCCTTCTTAGGGTTTGACACACAAATTAAAACGATGTTTTTGTCATTTGACTTTTTTTTTAAAGTTAATATATATAATTATATATATATATATATATATATATATATATATATATATATATATATATATATATATATATATATATATATATATATATATATATATATATATATATATATATATATATATATATATAATTATATACGAAATTATATACCTATTATTTAATCACTAACTTGATAATGATACTTAGTACTTAATTATTCTAAAGACCAAGAAGAGATTGTATTGGCAATGAACTCGACTTTTCTCTTTATCATCTCCTAGCGACTCGTCCTAGCAACGCACAGTTTTTTTTTTAATAATATTTTATTAAAAAAAAAAACTGTGCGTAGCTAGGACGTTATTAGTTGATACTGTAGCTTTGTATAGGCAAAGGAATTTTTAAAACCAGCTTAATATTTTTCTACTTTATCCATTACAAATATAAAATCAAATCTTTCCTCTTTATAGTACGTATTAATTTAGAATTATTGTCAGCATTCTTTCAAGCTAGCTTACATCACATCATACACACATATGCTCAAAGTTCGCTAATAATTTTCTGATGGTACTACTTTCTTATATTACATTGTTTTGACAATAAAATTTATAAAAATTATACAACCCCATGTGCCGTCAAAATATTGTCATTGCGATATAATAATGAGACTCAAATAATAAAATGTTTGCCGAGCTGTTAATAATTGTCCAAATACAATAAAAATATGCATAATCCTTGTTGTTCTGTGAAAAGTCCATAAACTTACTAAATACTTAGTTAGTAACAGAAATGGCATTCCATAGACTAATTCAGTGCAGATTACAAAAACAAACGTAGGCTATAAAATAACACTATATGTTTAGGTAATGAGTAAGTTATGACAATCGTACAGTACATTTATATTGCAAAACTATAAAACCTAAGGTACGTAATGATAGATGAAGAAAGATAAGCAAGTTGAAGTGGCAATGGGTTGGTTACATAACTCAGAGAGCCGACAACCGATGGGGAAGAAAGGTTCTTAAGTGGCGACCCCGTAGGGCCAATCGCAGTGTAGGACGACCCCCCACTAGATGGAGTGACGACCTCAAATGCATTGCAGGGAGTCAGTGGATGCCGGTGGCTTAAGACCGTTCCTTATGGCAGTCTACGAAGAAGGTCTATGTCCAGCAGTGGACGGATAATGGCTGAAATGATGATGATGATGGTACGTAAGGTAGGTATTTAAAGTGGTACAGTTACCACTTTTCATCAGCTTGATTACTATTCTAAGATGTATAATAAATCTTATGTACAAAAATTTTAATTTTATAAATATTTTAATATATCCTTTATTAACTTCTTACTGGTTCTTATTGAGTGCCGACCCAAAAACTTAAAAGTTATTAAAACCAATCCAAACCAAACTGTTTAATTTGAACTACATAATATAATTATGCTGCTATATTTAAAATTTGGAATAATATTTCTTTAATTTAATTAAGGGTTTTATTTTAGATTCCATTAAGTTCACCAACACACTTTACCACAATAACATCAGATTAATTTTAAGTTTACCTTTAGGGTGCTCTGATTTTGATAAATATAAAATCAGTTTTTTGCTTTTTTACTATTTTCCCTTTTACCAAAGATACCTGATTAGTAACCTTAAAAAAGGCATAATATAATTGGCATTTAATAAAATTTATATATTTTTGTCATATAAACATCAAAATATTAATAGCTATTCATAATACATACTCCATAATACCGGTTTATAATACTTTTTAGCCGGTAACATGATAAGAAAATTCGTCACGTCCAACTATCTCTACGTCGAATAACAAAGTAATGCCAATATACAGCATTTGCGTCAAACCATAATGTTCTCCATCGAAAAGAAACACGAAAATGATGTAACGAGAAACGTTCATTATCAAAAGTGGAATCTTCGCTAATCCCACGTCGTAAACTCGAATCTTTCTCTTAGCTAGCGCTAATGGTGCGCCAGTCGACTCGCTCACACTCACTATGTTGGCAATAACCTTACATATTATCCTTTGCGATGAGTTAATGCGTGTCTGTCAAATATTTAGAGCTTGCCGTATAAAAAAAGGACGTTGCGACGGCCGGCCAGCGTTTCAAAGGCGCACGCGCAGGGAAAATCATTCGATCGCATCGACCGCTGGGGCCGAACGACTAATCGGGAAGTTTAGCGACCGTTTTTCTTCAATTATTTTTTTAAGACGCCACCTCTATTGTTCCCACTTTAGTGGCAGTGTGTTCGAAAATTTTCACTGGAACTATGAAATAATGTGCGTTGAAAAATTTACATCGAACGGTCACCGTTTGTGTTCCGACCGTTTTACGGACACTCTAAAAGTTCTCAGGTTCTTAATGCTACAATTGGTTGTGCCGAATTGGACGATATTATGGATATCGAAACTTTTGTGATGAGTGTTAATTTTTTTTTATGACAAGAATTATCAAGGCGTAGACTGGACGGTAGTAAATTATTTTTGTAAGCAGTGTATACGGAGATATCTAAGCAAGATGATGTCCAAGAAGCAATTCACGTGTATGCTGACGCTGCATTTAGTTTACCTTCTGGTTGGAGCTAGTATATTTTACCATATAGAGAGTCCTTTAGAAGCACAACAAAGGGCTGAAGACAAACTGGAAAGACTTGAAATTCAAAGTAAGTTACTTAATCGTATATATAAGTGCATATATAAATAGTGTACTCACTCTTAAGGACAGATGCTATAAAGATTATTGGTGTAATATTTTTAATTGAAACTATATATATATATATATACCTGACTAATATCAGACTAATCTCATTATATCTTATTTCTAACTATTATAGATTTCATTGTTGATATTTTGACACTCTACACTTTTAAAGAAGAGCTCTTTCTTTATTACTAAAATGGAAAATTTGTCTCCAATTATATATAGTAAACAATGTTTAAATTTACTTAATAGTTTGTAATTTAAATTTATACAAATAAATTAAAATTCAATATAACCTATAGAGCACCAATTTGTAAAAATAAATATAAAATATTATTGTAACTTTCAACATAACAAATATATAAATAAAACTTAAAAAAAGGTATTAATAACATTTTTTTATATAAAATTTTAGTTCTTTAAAAAAATAAATAAATATACTCAAACTAAATTTTATTAATTATCATAAATTGTTATTTTCACTGATTGTGGACTAGTATTCCAATAGTGCATAAGAAATGCGCAAAAATTAGAACCGAATTGATCGATACATTAGAAAATGACTTGTTTTTACAATTAAACAAATATTACAATCCGTATATATAAAATTTGTAGTTACATTTATAATTTTCATTAAGTAGTCCATCATCTCATTTATCGTAATAAATCTGAAATAATATTATAAAGAGGAAAGACTTGATTTTTTGTTTGTTTATTTGTAATGGGCGAGTAACATCGGATGTAATTTATTTTAGAAAAAACTGCGAAGCCAGGGCAAGTCGTTAGTCGTATTAAAGACGTTACTTCACATTGTATTGGCATACATTTAGCAAATACTGCCCCTTAAGGCCGAACAGCCTTGTAATCAGATAAGTGAATAAATGCAGTGTACAACCACACCTCGGACACTTCATACAAAAACGCCATGATCCACGCTTGTCACAACTACAGAAACAAATAACGTCTGTACGTGTGACAATGTGTGCGTATGTAGTTAGGGTTTACGCGGGGAAATAGCGCACGCTTTGATATATTGTACCATAATACAAAAGTAGAGTCGACTAAAGACATCCATTACAGTATTGGCACTAACGCGTATTTGAGAGGGGGTGAGGTAAGACCGCATAGGGTGGCAGGGGGTATCTATACTGTACTTAAGTACTATTAGTTATACTGTGGTACAACTGAACTATGCAGGCACATTTGCTAATATTTACTGTGACTATCTATCGGTCCACTTACCGTAAACAGCTGCATTCTAGATATATCTATGACGACTCTATGTATGTAGTTTGTTATCGAAAACATAGATCTATCTATATACAGATATATCTCACCAGAGGGACACACACTTGCACACCTTTCGTGTTTCTACCGTGAAGCAATTGTGTTTGCATGGCTGTGTTTCGGTTTGAAGGGTGGGATATAGCAGTGAATTTACAGGGTACAGAGGAATAACACCTGGGTCCTCAGGAATAGCAACGCATGGGGGGTATCATTGGCGAAACAGTATACTCTGCTGTCTCCATGATACTGCTCATGTTTATAGGCGACGGTTACCACTTTCCATCAGGTGGGCCGTCAGCTTCTTTGCCATTCTAAGTTACATAAAAAAATCGATCACTGTAAACTGCGAGTGATTGATAATCGTAAACCTACTTAATAATTAACTTACTAATCGTACTTTTATTAGATTTAAAATATTGAGACAGATTTTGATAAACTATAAATGTAATGATATAATAACATGTCCAATATAATAACTATGAGGGAGGCCTATGTTCAGCAGTGGACAGATAACGGCTGACATGATGTTGATGATGATAACATGTAAGCCTCCTCATATTATTTTTTCCAAAATATCTCTCATGTAAAAAAATCCCATGTAGTTGCAATTACCGTATTTTTTTTTGATGGGTGAAAATAGTATGGTAACCCCGCCTGCGCTAACGAGATACGCTGGCGGAACACCAGTGAAGGGTGATAGATGAGAATGAAAACAGGCCAATTAGCCCATCATGATGAATTCATCAGGAATTAACCATGATAATTTCCAGGGGGAACCGCGAGAAGATCGACCTTTGGGGGTTTATTGGTTGGGTATATTGCTAGCAATAGGATTCTCAGTCTCCATTACTAACAATCCCTTCCCCCCCCCCCCTTAACAATTACCGTTTTAGCTAACTAATAAAAAAAATGTAATTATAAAAATAAATTAATAATAACTTTTTTTTTATTATTAAAAAAAAATACCAACAATAACTACTGTTGCAGGATAAAGGAAGTAGAAAAAAATCATAAAAACAATAGTATGACTACTTTACATAATAAATTACCCGCTTAATACGAATAAACATAGTTATATACTTATTAATGCAAATTATATTGCTCGGGTGTTATGAAAAGTGGAGAAGAAAATAAGGTTACAATTGTATTACTATAACTACATATACCATAACTATACCGTCCAACAGTTGATTATTAAATCGTCCTTTTAATACAAAATTCAATGTGTTAAAAATTTAAGATTATGTTTTAAAAAGAACGAAACCTACTTTAATTATAGCAAAACCACTTATTTTGACTACTTATTTTGAAAACTATACCACTTATTCGATTTTGATAAAATTTCTATGATACTAATCTGTAAGTATATCCTTTCAGATAAAAAAAAAAAGATTTTTGAAATCAGTTTATAATCGATGGAAATAGGAGACAACAAATATAAAAAATACAAGCGACTAGACAATCTCTTTTTTATTGAATTTAGTTGAAAATATATTTAAAATCAATTATATATTTTTTCCAAACTCTGATTCTATAGAATAGACTAACGACTTCGTTTTTTTGAAGGAATACACTTTGTAATAAGAAAAATAATTAGTGACACATTTATCTTACTTTAGTGTCCTTTTGCATTTCAATGTATTACTAGTTTAAAATTGTGTTCTACACAAAAAACCTACTTCAATAATGACATAACTTGTTATTTTGACTTTAAAACTAAACCACAACCGATTTTGATAAAATTTCTACGGGAGCAATCTTTAAGTATATCCTTTGAGATATATATATGTAGGTATATTGTATGTATATGTGTATGTGTGTGTAAGTATATGCATAGATGTAGATATACATTTATGTATATATATATATATATATATATATATATATATATATATATATATATATATATATATATATATATTTGTATGATAAAATATATAGTAATTAATTTAATTTTGTCTGTTTAAAAATTGTACACTGCTGTATCCGCTGACATTGATGCTCCTTTCCACTTTGGGTTTGCTGGAAGAAAACTCTATCAGAGTTAAGCTCGCCTTTGTACTTTTGTTTACCTCTGTCATATTTTTATAACTAATGTGTACAATAAAGTATTAAATAAAATTAAATAAAATAAAAAAAAAAATTTGAAATACGAGTAGGCTTATAATCGGCGGAGTTATGAGGCATTTGGTTAAAAATTTGAGACAAATCAATTATATATTTTACTGAATTCTGATTCTATAGGCCAATGACTTCGTTTTTTTGAAGGAATACGATTTGTTTAGTCACTACAATCTAATTTGTTATTTATGGTAACTAATTTAAAGAAGACATTAACTCACATTTCACGGTCAAATTACTTGCAATTATTAAATAGAATTAAATAGAAATACCTACATTTACTACTACGCCTCTTTTAACTTAAATAAATTTAGTTTAATATATCAGGGCATAAATATGCCCTAACACGTTCTAAACCAGAGGGAGACTTTGTATAAAAGTCGATTGCTTGGGTACCTCTGTCCCATTCGTGTTTCAACCGTGAAGCAGTTGTGTTTACATGGCTGTGTTTTGGTTCGAAGGGTGGGATATGGCGTGAATTTACAGGGTACAAAGGAATAACACCTGAGTCCTCAGGAATGGCAACGCATGAGGGGTATCATGGGTGAAACAGTATACTCTGTTATGTCTATGGTACTGCTCATGTCTATAGGCGACGGTTACCACTTTCCATCAGGTGGGCCGTCAGCTTGTTTGCCATTCTAAGTTGTATAAAAAAAAACTTCAAATATATTTTTTAATGGGTGAGAATGGAATGGTAACCGGTAGGGTTACAATATTGGTATACACAAGTGAGGCACGAGTGAGAGATGATAGAGGGGGAAGAGAGCAGGTCAGTTGGCTCATTGTGATGAATTTCACGAGAATTAACCACGATCGTTACTAGAGAGAACCGCGTAGAGGTCGACCTAATTGAGTATATTGCTATTTTTTCCAGCCGTTAACTGTCCACTGCTGGACAGAAGCCTTCCCCATAAAGGGAGTTTTGCCAGTAATTGCCACGTTTGCCAAACAGGTTGGCAACCGTAGTTACGTTTTTAGTGATCTTTTAAGAGGGACGCTACTGCCCGTCTCTCTACCATTAAGTTTCCTTAGTCGCCTCTTACGACACCCACGGACGTTGGACACAAAGAAGAGGTGACCCATCCTATGCTAGGACCACACGCCAGTCAAGTCATATAAAAATTAGCAATATTGGCTACGTATGAAACCATATGTAGGGTTTTTTTTCTCCCCACAATTGGGGAAACAGTTATGATGAATTAGGGGGTTTAGTCCTTATGAGTCAGAGAGGCGACTCACAATGGGAGACTTGTTTGTAAAGGCCTAAAACGCAAAACAGTTATTGGTATTCATAATATACTCTATGGGTCATCGAGTACGTGTCAAGAATAGCGTATGTATGTAGTAGAGATGAGATATAAGACCACAATGATGCTAGCAGGTTTTTAAGGTACTAAACTTCTGTAGGTAACTAATGCAGAGGTTCCCAAAGTTGTGTGAGTAGGACCCCCATTTTAGAACATGGTACCTTGTAAAGAAATTGTGTTTGATTACCAATAAACAAAACGTACAAATTACATTAGTTGATAATCTTACTTTCTTCTTTTAAATGTGTTTAAATTACAATAACTCAAGTTAAATGATATTTTCTATTATTTGTTTTACTTTAACTTTCCTTTTACCTTTCTATTTTTTAAATATTTTACGAATAAGCAATGTTTTGTTTAATTCTTATTATGTATAGGATATTAATTTTAGTGAACGATTCCTAAATATGGCAAAACAAGTCTTGAGTTTCACTTAATTCAAATGTATTTAAATACACAACTGTGATTAAATCTTAACCATCCGAATATATTTACAAATTTTCACATCCTATTTATAGGATAAAGGTGTAATATGTAAAATAATTAACAAATATGGATACAAGTATAAAATCGAAACTTAGAACCAGTAATTCTATGTAAAATTAAAATAAATAAATTCAAATATCTTAAAGAAATCTCTCAATGTAAATCGAATAGTTTAAAATCGAATGGTAGATTCGATTTCAAGACACATACAGGATGCAACTAGTTGTAATATTGACCTGATTATCAGACTATTAGTTACAAATGGCTCTTTCTATTGCACGCTACATTTACCTCGTATCCTATAAATATCTCTATCTACCTATTGCACGTACAATTTTCCGTAAGAATCGATAGAAAAAATCTTGAAACAATGATCTTCAAACAATTGAGATATATAAGTGATTCACAGCGTACACTTGATTGCAAATATCTGTTTTACATGTAATATATAGTGGATGGATATAAATCTGTGGCATTTTATCATGTTTAATATTTGAGTTATATTCACTGCAAGCTAGATATAATATTTTAATTCGATTAATACCTCAATTCAGAGTTTCTCAAACTTTTTTGAAAGGGGCCCATTGTGAAATATTAAATGGAGCCCATAAAAAAAACTTGATTTTATGTTTATTCTCTAGTAAATTTATTTATTTTGTCAGACTTGGTTTTTGGTTGGTTGGTGAGACAATTTATTCAGCGATATACATAAGGATGTACTCAATTCGCTTTTAATTTTATATGCTGAGCCATATTTGATAATCGTCTTGTCATACAATGGATTTACTCCCGTAATGTGTCACAATTGAGGTAGATAATTATATATATTTTTGAAGCAAAATTTAACGTCTTTTTAGGGTTCCGTTTTCGTTTTGATATCTACCAACCACAATATGGAATGCAATAAGAAATAAATAAATTATTTTACTTTCAAACAGTTTAGAAATCTCATTTGAAAATACATTGTAAGAAATAAAACGTCGAGAAAACAGACTGTTTGCTAATGATATATAAACAAAACAGATCGTTACAGTGCATAATAAAATCTCACATGTTTGTAACAGTTTGATCTTACTCACTGAGTACATGTTTTTATAAACATTTTTTTTTATTTCAATATTAATTTTATTATATTTTGGACGTTGCCCGATAAATTATCTTTCTTAGAATGAAATACGTTTCAATTCGGTGATACTTTTTAACATGCCATGATAAATATTACCTGTTAGGCTCCTTAGTGGGGATACTAATATAAATAACTTAGTAAATACATAATTCTATAATTAGTTATGATTTATATATTTATTAATTTAATATATACTATGTTTAGTTATTTATATATATTACATATGTATTATATATAATTTATGTGTGTATATTTTTTGTAAGTATATTCTTCTATATGTTTGTATGTTTATTTATCATAAATTGTTATCTTTCAAAATATTTATTTAACTTACAATTTTTTTTTAAATCTATGCACCGTCATTTACTCTCTCTGTTAGCGTAATGGTTGTCTGGTAGTGAATGCCAGCAGGCATTAAGTCTGTCCTGTAGACATATTTTAATGTGTACAAAAGTATAAATAAATAACTTGTACCTACTAATAGATGCCATAACTTATGTTCTGATTATTGATCTTATAGAATATGCACTTATTATATTATAATAAGGAGAGCAGGGGGAAAGGGATTGTTAACAATGGGGTTTGACAGCCCCATTGCTAGCATTATGCCTTATTAGGTTGACCTCCACGTGGTTTCCCCTGGAAACCATCGTTAACAATTCTTGTTGAATTAGTCACGATGGGCTAACTGACCTGCTTCATTCTCACCTATCATTCTTCACTGGTGCCCCGCCGGTGTATACCGATAGCGCGGGTGGGGTTACCATTCCATTATCATCCATTGTAAAAAAAAATAAGGAAAGCAATGAAAAACATCACAAAATATACGATACAGTCGACGATGTTAAAATTCGGGTCACCTAAGAGTTCGCAAACTTATTTTGTAAATTCCGAATCTCTTATCCAGTCTTATCATTATCACCAATTAACATCTCACTACTTGTTATTTATCACTTCCATAAAAGGAAATTTTTTTTCTTTTCAAAAGACTTAAAAAAAGAAATTCGGTTGTAATTTTTTATGTCGTTACCTCACAACTAGGATATTCATGAATTGTCTTGGAAAATTATTATTTTTTTTATCTAAAAGGATATACTTTCAACGTGGTCCCGTTGTAATTATATCAAAATGTGTTTAGTAATTTTTAAATAACAATAGATGGCTTTTTCATGACTGAAATACGTGTGTTTTAGGGAACAAACTCTTAAATTATCATATACTTATTCATTATGGTTTATTTACTTCGTCGCCTCTTATAAAATCCTTCAGATGAAAACGCGACACAATTATTGTATTACTACCTTTAACCTGCTACTTCGTCTATGTATCCCGGGTTTATTCATTCATCAGGATAAAAAAAAATAGCTTATATCTTTCTTCATCCCATGTAGTATTTGTATACTAAATTTCATAGTGATTGGTTAAGCCGTTCAAGCGCTATGAAGTGACAAACAAACGAACTCACTTTCACATTAATAATACTAACCCTTCTTTGCATACTGGTGGAAATTTCCATCATAACATTGAATGCCCACAAATTATATAGAAGAACAAGTTCACTTTAAGTTGATCGTGTCTAGATACCTTTTTAATGTCCATTGGAGAAAAAAAACATAGCTGTCTAATTTATTTTTTAACCATTTGCTCTTTAATTTTAAACATGAATTACGTCACCTTGATTTATTTCACCAATAAAAAAAATCATGCAAAGAAGGGTTAATAAGGATTATTGGGGGGAAATAGGATTGTTAGTAATGGAGACTAAGAATCCCATTGCTAGCAATATACCCAACCAGGTCGACCTCCTCGCGGTTTCCCCTTAACCCTTAATTTGATTTTGTTCACTGTGAGAAACATATGAGAAAAAAAATGATTTCGTTATATTTTTACACCAAATTCGTATTTTTTGTAATATTATCATACCGTATATAATATTTTTTAATAGTAAAAAAATAGTCTACGCACCTGGCAACACTTTTACTTGTCATTGTCAAAGCAAAATGTCGGCGCCTCGCAGGTCGTCTATGTTCCGCAAGGTAAATATAAAGATTTTACTTGATTTTCTATTGTTTCAAGTATTTTAATGCTTTCACTAACTTATCTAGACTATTTGTTATATTTTGGTCTGTGAATTATGTGCCTTTATGTGAATCCTCAAGTTTTATGACCCGCCAAAAGCTTATGTTTATTGTGATGAACATTGCCAAATAACCTATAAAGTACCTACAATTTGTTATGTTCATCACCGTAAACGATGCCAAATACCTAATGATAAATTAATCCAAAATAGTTATGTCTTTTTTTTAACATTTTGACGTTATGGGTTTTATTTTGCTTATTTCGGTATTTTCTGTTGCCAACAGCATACTTTGCATGGACGCACGGCAAAAATATTGGCGCTTGTGCCTATACAGCATGCTCCCTCAGATACCAGTGATAGGTCCGACATGGACAATGAATTGGCAGATCTGCATACTCCAAGTTTAGCTTCATCATCATCACCATCTCTAGATTCATCTTTAGAGCGAATGCATATTTTAAGCAGTCCTGAACCTGATGCTGAAGATCATGACACTGGGGACGATCCACCTGAATTTGATTTTACAGAAACATCATTGCAATTGACTCCAGTTATACGTCAAATTTGCCCAGCTACGCCGACTAGAGAACCGAACTACGAGAACATACCTTCCTTATCTTCTATACCATCTCTTCCGTCTGAAGCCCCTTTATCAACTCCTGAAAGTGCTACCAGGAAAACTCGAGCCCAAAGGCACATTACTCCAGTGCTGGCTAAAAGACGAAAGAAAGTTCCGAAATTTGTATTAACCTATAAATGGAAAAAAAACGTCACCTTCCGTCACCAAGCTACAATTGAAGAAAACCAAGACCATAATATAATGAATGCCTCTTTCCTGCCCACTGCAGATTCCCTAGAATATTTAAATTTTTTTTTTCTTCAGACATTGTGACCGATATTACCGTACAGTCAAATCTATATTCTGTTCAAAAAACTGGCAAATCTATTCAAGTGACAGAAAACGAAATGCGTGATTTTATAGCTATCCATACTCGTATACTTATGGGTATTGTCTCAATGCCTAGTTACCTAGACTATTGGAGCAGTAGATTCCGGTATGCTCCGATAGCAGATCTAATGAGTTTAAAACGCTATCAACAGATTCGTAGATTTCTACACTTTGCTGATAATAGCTTAGAAGATACTGATAGATATTACAAAGTAAGACCAATAGCAGAAAAAATAAGAAAAAACTGTTTGCTGCAAGAAAATGAAAACAAATTTAGTATAGATGAGATGATGATTGTTTATAAAGGAAGAAAGGCAGGCAACAGAAAGCAGTACATGAAAGATAAACCCAACAAGTGGGGATTCAAAAATTACGTGCGAGCTGGAGTAAGTGGCATGATTTATGACTTTATCCTATATGGAGGAGAAGATACATTCCGTTTTCATAAATTCACTGAACAAGAAATTTCAATTGGGTTTGGGGCACAAATTGTAATAGCTCTGTGTCAATCTATTCAAAGAAAGCCAGCCACCATATTTTGTGACAATTTTTTTTCATCGCCTGAGTTATTTTATATTTTAAAAGAAAATTATGGCGTATTTGGTTTAGGTACAATTCGTAACAATAGAACCAGGGGAGCTGGATCTATTTTGCCTAGTGAAAAGGCAATGAAAAAGAAAAAGAGAGGAGCTTATTCACAGGTCGTATGTGACAAAACCAAGCTGGCTCTCGTTCGCTGGAACGACAATAAGCCTGTCACCCTGATAAGCTCATTTGTTGGATGCACACCTGTGCATAAAATAAAGAGATATTGTAAGGTAGAAAAGCGAAAGTTAGATGTTGACTGTCCTCAAATAGTAAGGGAGTACAATAAACATATGGGGGGTGTAGACCTGGGTGATATGTTAGTATCTTTTTATAAAATACCATTCAAGTCTAGAAGATGGTATATAGGTATATTTTGCCAGTTGTTAGATATAAGTATAAATAATTCATGGATTTTATATAAAAAAAATACTAACGATAGAAAAAAATGTCTTTGAAAATATTTCGGCAAGATCTATATCTAAATTTAACAAAAAAGAACCGGTCTGTACGTTCTCACTCTATCGTTGAAAATTCAACAATAAAGAACCCTAAGTTACCCAGGCCCATTAGCCCCATACGTTTCGACAATATTTGCCACTTTCCTAATACAAAAGAAGACATGGGGAGGTGCAAATATTGCCTAAAAAATACTACTGTGTACTGCATGAAATGTAATATAAGACTCTGTTTTGTTACCGGAAAAAAATCTCGTAATTGTTTTCTCAATTTTCATACAAAATAATACTAAGTTTTTTGTGAAATGCTAGAAGAGGCTCTATTATGTTATAAAAGATATTTTGTTATGTCTTTGTTTTGTTTTTTATATAAATAAAAATATTTTGTAAACTGCACTACCTGTTTGAATGTGTACCCTAATTTGATTATGTTCATCACAGTAAACATTACAATAAAGTGGTATTTCTCGACAGATTTGGCAATGTTCACTCTGATGAACATTGGTTTCCTAGAAGGTCGCTTTTTTTTTTTATTTTTTCTATTAAATGTTAAAAGTAAAAGATATTTTGTTCCCTAACAATGTCTTCTGGTCTGACCGCCGTTTTTGTCACGTTTTTTATATAAGATAAAAATATTCTGTAAACTCGGCAAGAATGTTTGAATCAAGTCCCGCTCAAATGTCAAGACAATGTTGATTGTTTTTTTCGATGTTCATTGTCCATCAGTAAGACAGTTGATGGAAAATTCAATAAACGCCTCAAAGCTCGGTGGCATTTCTCGAATTGGCGCGAGAGGGGCGTTGGATTCTTCAATGTTCACTCTCTTGTTGTCCGTGAGTTTTTGGTAAAAATTCCATTACGGTGACCGAACACCCCCCCCTATTCGCCGGATTTGGCCCCGTGTGACTTCTTCTTGTTCCCAAAAACCAAATTTTTTTTTAAATGAGATAAAAAAAGCTATTTTTTGAGAAACCTACAACCAGAGGACTTTCAAGGAGCCTTCTCACAGTGGAAACGGCGTTGACACAAGTGCATTATGTCACAAACTTATAAATATTTACCTGAATAATTGTAAAATAAAATTTTTAAAAAACATATATATACATAAATTTTACATATATATAACACATTGAACCTCTGCCAAATTAAGGGTTAAACTATCATGGTTAATTCCTGATGAATTCATCATGATGGGCTAACTGGCCTGTTTTCATTCTCATCAATCACCCTTCACTGGTGCTCCGCCAGCGTATCCCGTTAGGGCAGGCGGGGTTACCATACCATTTTCACCCATTAAAAAAAATAAGGATTACTCCATCACTATATTAAAATAAACATGTACCTAATAAAATGCAAATTTTCTGCACCCAACTAATGTGAATTACCCACTTTTTTAACTTAAGTATTTTCTTTAACAGCTCTTTTATTTTTTTGAAGCAAACAAGAAATTAATGTCAAGTATTATAATAACAGAATACTTAGTTACTTTTAATTGAACTTCGATAAGATTTTGTTGTTTGACGACCATGTTCGTTTAGAGGTTTATCAAGCGCTTGACACAATTGGGTTGGTTTATAATGAACGATACTGAAACAATTATACTCGTATTGTACGAGTATGTAATTCACTGTTTGTCTTGTATTGTGACTTCTTGATCGAACTTCATTATATCGATTATATACAAGTAATCATCATCATCATATCAGCGTTTAACTGTCCACTGCTGAACATAAGCCTCCCCCATGGGGGGTTTGCCAGTAGTTGCCACGCTTGGCAGGCGGGTTAGCAACCGCAGTTAGGCTTTGGTGATGTTTTAGAGGTATTGCATAATGTATTTTATATATATATATATATATATATATATATATATATATATATATATATATATATATATATATATATATATATATATATATATATATATATATATATATATATATACTAAGAACTATACATGAAAATTTCTCGTATTACAATTATTATATTCGATCGCCATCTTGCTACCCTATTGCGGAATATAAAAATCGCGATTAAAAAACACGGAGTTAATTGTAAAAGCATGAAAATTCGAAGTTATATGTATTTTCCAATGCTAAATCATTGTAAAATAAAAATAAAAAAAATTGTCGAAAAAATAAAAAAAAATTTAGGGGTGGGTCACCCTAACCATTGAGGGGTATGAAAAATAGATGTTAGCCGATTCTCAGACCTACCCGATATGCACACAAAATTTCATAATAATCGGTAAAGCCGTTTTGGAGGAGATTGGTAACAAACACCGCGACACGAGAATTTTATATATTAGAGATATAGTTTTATGTAACTGTGGCACACATAATTCGTTTATATATTTTTCTTTTGTTTTTTATTGTGTATGTATTCTTTTTTTTGTGTATGCCTCTATGTCTGTTTTTATTTTTGTTCTGTAAGTAAAGCAAATATATCATATATATAGATAGCTATCTATATATTACCCGAAAAGAGTTCAATACAGTTGTACAAACAATTTTCATTGCACAATAAGTGGACTCAATCAGAATAATAATAGAAGGCATAAAATAGAAATAATTGCAGAAATACTTACCATACCGGGCAGAGTCGTGATTCGTTATAAATTAAGGGTCTATACACACACGGCTGATATAATCTGGATGAATGATGGTCTTCCGTCGTGTGATTTTTCCAAGTCACTTTTCCACGTACAACCATGCTTTGGAATCAAATTCCAGCAGCAGTAATTTTAAAACGATAATGACATCGTAACCTTTAAGAAAAGAGCATGTTTTTTAAAAGGCCGAGAGCACACCGGCAATTGCTCCGATGTTGCGGGTGCTAATGGCTGGCGATATTTACCATCAGGTGAGCCGCATGCTCGTTTGCCCCCTAACCTACGATATGAGTAACGATCCAATGCAACTAGATGGAGTACCGCTATCATGAGTTTGTACAGACAGTTTACCACAGCAGATTATTAACAAATTACTACAGTAATCAATCAACAATTAAGCGATTGAGTTGTGATTTACAGGATAGTTTACTATCTATTCTACTTGCCATGTGGTCCCGGCATATAATAGTCCACCCCTTCTTATCTCGTGGGTGTCGTAAGAACCGACTAAGGGAGGGCGAGGCATGGGCAGCAGCGTCCCTCTTAAAACATATCTAAAGCTCTGACTGCGGTCGCCAATCCACCTGCCAAGCGTGGCAACTACTAGCAAAACCTCCGTAAGGGAGAGGCTTATGTTCAGCAGTGGACAGTTAAAGGCTGATATGATGATTAGTCTATTCTACGTAAACGACAATTGAAGGTTCTGTCTGCAAAAAAAAAAACTCCAACTCCGACTCCAATTATGACAAAATCAGTTATTTTGGTTAAAAAACTAAGCTACTAAACCGATTTTGATAAAATTTCTATGGAACAAATTTGCAAGTATATCCTTTTATACAAAAAAGAATTTTCCAAATCAGTTTAGAACTGACGGAGTAAAAAAATACAGACGATATGATACCTCCTTTTTTGAAGTGGGTTGAAAACGAGATGTATAGTTTACGACAGTCACATGACTATCGAATACTACAGCTACTGTAGAAACTTGATAGCAATCTACTGTAGAAATTATCTATAAGATCTTTTAGTTGCGGTAGTGGTCTCCCGTAAGAACTTTTATTATAGATGACAGAAAGGAAAAAGTATTGGGACACTTGATACGATACGACGAACTTATGACCATTATAATAGAAAGTAAGATAGAAGGAAGGAAGGGAAAAGGAGACCAAGACATAGCTATACCAGGCAGATCAAGAAAGGAGTTGGTGTCGTGTCGTATCAAGAGGTGAAGAGACTCGCTGAAAATCGTAGTGAGTGGCAAGAGCTCCACCAACAAGAATGCAGCTCTTAAATACGATAGATAGACTGGTCTCCCAAATTGGCCAATCTTTCCCTAACGTATAAAAAATGAAATAAT